TTTTGCAACATATCTACCTTCATAATGACACCACTATTTCTGTTTGGGATCTTAGAACATCAAGCTCTGATTCTTTAGAGATCATTTCTGTAATATTGTCTGTTAACCTTAGAACAACAGTCAGTGAATATTGTGCCTTAGAACAACAATCTGAGCCTGTCAGTGAATATTGTGCCTAAGTGTACAGTGAGCCGTCTTTCATCAGGCACTCTTGTCCTTAAAGATGAAGTGTCGTGGTGTAAAAGCCTCTACCCGTCATATGAAATGAATGATAAACTCTCAATCACAAACGATGGTTATTCATAATAAAATGTGTTAAAGCTCAACTCACAGGATGGATTGTATAATCTGTGATCGGACCAAAAATAATCCATACACTGAGTCAAGCTTCAAAGTAATGGGTCAGCCATAGGTGCAGTCAATCTTACAGAGTAAAACTCTAAAGATCGCTTCTGTACATCGTCCTCCTTCACTCCCCCTGAGCGACCTATCTGAGCATCAAGTATGGGAGGGGGTTTTGACCGCTGCATGACCCTGAGGAGTGAAACTTGCCAGGTACTGGAGGGAGGAAGGAGCACTCCGGGGACCAGAAACTGGATAAAAACCAGATCGATTTTGATGAGTCTGCATTTTGATCTTTCAAAGGATAAGACATATTTTCAAATTTCCAAAAGTTCCCAATGGTTACGGCTTCCGATTGACTTCATGGTGGCAAACGATTGGTTTTTAATGATAAAATGCTGAGTGGGCGATATTTCTTTCCATCCATGAGATACCAGAGGGTTCAGGATGTAAATAAAAGAGAGGTGATGGACCGAAAGGATCTGATCTCTGCAGGGAGGGACTCAAGATTTGTCTGATGTTTTCTGCAAGTCGACTGACAATGAACCTTTTTGGTGCATCTGATTCAAGACTCGGGTTAGGGTCCAGAGATTCTTTGTGTGTTTTCTCTTGACCAAGAACTTATTAAAAAGACAGAGCCTCCAGTTGAAGAGTTGAAGAGCGCCTCACAGCTGCTAGCTGAGGAAATCTTCCAGAACATTCAAACTGAGCTCAAAAAGAGAGCCCAGGTTAAAATACACCACTGTGCCCATTAAAGGTCACTTAATTGGCCTGACGTCTTCTGTGGAAGCCCAGAATAGCAAAGGTCAAATCTCTCCAGGATCAATAGACTAAGGTCTCTGTTAACTGACACACAGACTTATCAGGTGAGGGGAGGGATAGGCGAACAGGCCGAGTGGCAGACAGGGAGCCAGAGAGGATTTACCTGATTGGCATCCTGTCACAGACAGTCGAGAGGGAAGGTGTGGAAAGAGGAGCTCACCAGAGATCAGCATCTACACCTTCAATACACTGCTTATCAAAGAACGCTATCATAGATGGCTGAATGTGTCTGCATCCTTTGTGTTCATGTCTACATGTCTGATCTGGTCTGAAGGCCGTGCTGACATGTCACATGTATGACTTCCTTTAACTCTATACCTTGACACATGAGAAGTTGTTAACCAGCACCTCAAACTACAGGGGCTGTTTAGTCCTGGAGTTCAACCCTTCTTTTAAAGATGCGCCCAGCTAAAGATTAAGACAGTGCTGCTAATTCAATTTAAAATATCCCTCTAAACATTCACAACAGAAATACTAGTGACCAAATCTCACCAAACTGTCTGGCTATGTTTCTGCACTTTAAGATGAAAATCACTGCTTCACTAATGCTTCTTAAACTTCACGAGTCCACACGATTCAGATTGAGCCTTCAAGACAGGAAGATGTGTCTTCTTTTAAAATCACACTTTCTGTACCCAATAAATATCACTATATGGTTCATACTGCCTGGTCTCTCTCCTGTCAATAAACTGTCCCACAGAGCGCCCCCTACAGGCCTGGAGTATGTACTTCTGTTAAAAGGCTGAATTTGCAGCAGTTCTGTATTCAAAGTGTGTGTGTGTGTGTGTGTGTGTGTGTGTGTGTGTGTGTGTTTTTTATTTGTTTCATTTGCAGTATGTTTTGTTTCATGTGTAGCGCGTTTCAGACATTGCATTTGTTTCGGAAGTTTTCTTCTTGAAAGTGCAGCGTTTCTGAATATGCTGTGCGTTTATCTAAATGCACATCATTTTTTTTCCTGTTGAACCTTTGCACCTTCAGGCCAACGTACTCATAAAGCTCTAAAATAATATAACTCTCAGTTCTTAGCCTTACATAGAAAATACGATGTATAATATGCTTCTGCTGCTATGTCACTACGACTGCTGCTATCTGAAGCGGAAACCATGAGGAGTGAAGAGTCTAAGGTCACACTCACACGAGGCAATCCTACTTCAGCACGGAACCAGACAACTTAGAGTAGTGTGAGTGTGCCCTAATAGTCAAATTATTCTACTGCTTTACTGAAGTTAAAACTCTATTAAAGAATGAGACACATCTTTACACTTTGTTACATTTGAATTATAACCATGTTTGAATAGAGGCCTGGGTTCTCCAGTTTTACTAATAATTCATAAAATAATGTTTGATTAAGTGCTGAATGATAAAACATCAGAGCTCATAATGTAACACCTGCAGACCCACAGCCTGAAGGGAAACTGAGTCACCCAAAAATAGAAACTCACTGCAAGAACCAAACCCACACTAATTCAGTAGTCCTGAGCCAGATTTATGTAAAATAGATTGTGTTATAGCTCGATGGAATCTCAAAGTTAGGAGGAGAATCGAATAATGCAGACAGTAGCACTTTCCTGTTGAAGTGCTGTCAGTGATCTGAGAGGAGACAGCAATGTGCTGATCAGGCTGTGATCCCAATCACTCCACCTTTTAACCTTCCACTTACCAAGCTGAGGGACTAGATGCTACTTCACACACACACACACACACACACACACACACACACACACACACACACACACACACACACACACAGTCTGCATTGTGCTGTGTCAGCCTGTGTGTTCCCCTGATCATTGAGGATCTGTGGTGTTGGATAAATGGTAATAAAAGTACGACAGCGATGGAGGCAGAGAGACTCAATCATTTATTCCATGAGAATTTGTGCATCAGCGTGAACACGTGAGACTTTCTCCAGGTGGAAACCAGCATCTTGTTTCTCTGGATTTAACTCTTAAAGATGTAAGCACATCTTCCAAAAAGGAGTCTGCTCCATAGAGAGATCCTTCATCACACACACTGGACCTCACGTGCACATGTCACATCACATCAGGCAGTTTCACCTCAGAGGACTGCAGTGGCTTTCATATCACACTGTCCTCTAAATCAGAGCTGACACTACTTAATCAGCGCTAAACTTTACCAGCCATCTCATTTAGGAAACAAGATCAGCCATCGCTCCACAGCTCCCAGTCCACCCAGTGCTCCCAGTCTCCAGTTTAACACAAAGAAACACGCACTCTTAAAAAGAAAGAGAGTCTACATTCATTAAATTGTGGCCCAAAATGGTCTTCATAGCTTTGTACGAATATACCAGAGTTCTAACAGCAAGCAAGCGTTATAAAGGTGTCGCATCGTGCACAATCACACGCTCGCTGTCCACACTGCTTCAGTCAAATATTTAATTCTCTGCTCTTTCAGTTTCCCCTTGTAAACATTATGATGTGGAGCTTTTATTTTGAAGGTGGACAAACTGAAGTGTGGAGCTTTTATTTTGAAGGTGGACAAACTGAAGTGTGGAGCTTTTATTTTGAAGTTGGACAAACTGAAGTGTGGTGCTTTTATTTTGAAGGTGGAGAAACTGAAGTGTGGAACTTTTATTTTGAAGGTGGACAAACTGGAGTGTGGAGCTTTTATCTAGAAGGTGGACAAACTGAAGTGTGGAGATTTTATTGTGAAGGTGGACAAACTGAAGAGTGAATGTTTTAATTTGGAGGTGGACAAACTGAAGTGTGAAGCTTTTATTTTGAAGGTGGACAAACTGAAGTGTGTAGCTTTTATTGTGAAGGTGGAGAAACTGAAGTGTGGAGCTTTTATTTTGAAGTTGGACAAACTGAAGTGTGGTGCTTTTATTTTGAAGGTGGAGAAACTGAAGTGTGGAGCTTTTATTTTGAAGCTGGACAAACTAAAGTGTGGTGCTTTTATTTTGAAGGTGGAGAAACTGAAGTGTGGAGCTTTTATTTTGAAGGTGGACAAACTGGAGTGTGGAGCTTTTATCTAGAAGGTGGACAAACTGAAGTGTGGAGATTTTATTGTGAAGGTGGACAAACTGAAGAGTGAATGTTTTAATTTGGAGGTGGACAAACTGAAGAGTGGAGCTTTTATTGTGAAGGTGGACAAACTGAAGTGTGAAGCTTTTATTTTGAAGGTGGACAAACTGAAGTGTGTAGCTTTTATTTTGAAGGTGGACAAACTGAAGTGTGGAGCTTTTATTTTGAAGTTGGACAAACTAAAGTGTGGTGCTTTTATTTTGAAGGTGGAGAAACTGAAGTGTGGAGCTTTTATTTTGAAGCTGGACAAACTAAAGTGTGGTGCTTTTATTTTGAAGGTAGAGAAACTGAAGTGTGGAGCTACTATTTTGAAGGTGGAGAAACTGAAGTGTGGTGCTTTTATTTTGAAGGTGGAGAAACTGAAGTGTGGAGCTTTTATTTTGAAGGTGGACAAACTAAAGAGTGGAGCTTTTATTTTGAAGGTGGATAAACTGAAGTGTGTAGCTTTTATTATGAAGGTGGACAAACTGAAGTGTGGAGCTTTTGTTTTGAAGCTGGACAAACAGAAGTGTGGTGCTTTTATTTTGAAGGTGGAGAAACTGAAGTGTGGAACTTTTATCTTGAAGGTGGACAAACTGAAGTGTGGAGCTTTTATCTTGAGGTGGAGAAACTGAAGTGTGGAGCTTTTATTTTGAAGGTGGACAAACTGAAGTGTGGAGCTTTTATTTTGAAGGTGGACAAACTGAAGTGTGGAGCTTTGTCTTGACGAGCAGGTGACTCAAATCACACTCATTAAACAGCTGTAGTTGTATTTTGTATTTTGTATTTTAATGTATAACTAAAAACATTTACCTTTTTCAGGACCACAACCCCCTCCTGAGTTTGACCGTCAGAGAGGATATCAAACATGTTGCCCTCGTCTCCTGGAACGATGGCGTAGTCCACCTCTGAATTGCTGCCAGCATCAAGATCCTGGGCTCGAATCCGACCCACCGCTGAGCCGACTAACGCTGACTCTGGCACCCGCAGGTGGAAAATACCTGGCACAACCACAGAGGAGAGGGAAGGGAGGGTCCAAATCAAGTCGGAGCAATTCCAACAAGAACGTTAATCCTGATTAATAACAATCAACAAATCATTTATCCATCCAAACAACCAATCAGAGGCTGGCTCTCAGACTTTCTTACTCTTAGCAAAGCGCGGTGGGTTGTCGTTGACGTCACTTAAGCTGATGTTGATGGTGGTGGTTGAAGCCAGACCTCCTAGCTGACCTCCCATGTCCTTGGCCTGAAGGAGAACCTGGTACTCCCCCTTCACCTCCCGATCCATGTTGGCTAGAGCGGTCCTGATCACCCCTAAAGGAGGAGGAGGGGTTTGAAAAGGGGGATATTCATAGAGACAGATATACAGACAGCTGCGGCATTTGAGTGTTCTGTACACTCGTTTCTATAGATTGTCGTCAAACTACTCGTTAAAAAAAGTATGAAAAGTAGAAGAAAGAGGAACAGAAAGTCAGGGCAACGACAGTCAAAGCTGCAGCTCACTGGGGGGGGGGGGGGGGGGCAGATAAATGTCCAAAATGCAAAATGTTCCTACTAACGCCAGTTGAAGGACTTATCGACAGGGCGCTTTGATGAAGTGGTCACAGAGGGTGCACAGCGGTGGTCTGAGAAGTTAATCACAAATCAAATGAAACATGAAAGGAGCCGAGGCCCTTTGACTCTGCATGTTGTGTCTGAACTCAAACTGTCTCATGTCTGAACCACTCCAATATTAAGTCCATCCAGCCATTCATTCTGCTTATCAAGGGTTGAGTCATGATGGCAACATTCAAGTTGTACAGCCCCCCCAACTTGTTCCTGCTACTTCAGATGTGATGTAAGTACTAGGGATGGGTATGATTACTTAAGTACTCGTTGCTTATGCATGCCTTGTTTTAGCTAGCTTAGTTAGCAACATGTGGAAATGAGCTTTCATGGTATGCCAAACTGGATAGACTACTGTAAGAGTGAAAATGGGATATGCAAATAAGTTAGAAGCATGTTTATTATGTTCTTTCTCTATGCAGACATAACTTTAGTATGTTCTTAAATGATTGCTAAAATGTTGGTTACAAGTGTTTACAGTAATGTTAATATCCTGTTATTAGGTAGGCCACCTAGTGGGCGCTGTTCAGGCAGGAGTGAACGGTGTAGTCAGGGGAGGGAAAACAGGAGGAGAAGGAGAGAGGTTGTGAAATGTACCGTGCGTCGGAGAAACTGACTAAAGTTATGAGAAAGACCCAGAACGTGTTTGGACTGATTTATTCCTTCACATACACCCACGTCGCTTACACTAGATTAAGTAAATTATGAGCGGGACACATACTGCTGGATCACTGCACCAACAACTGCTTTACGGCAGCTACGGTAACTCTCAAGGGACACATTACTCCAAAAGTTGAGAGCACATTTAAAAAACTAAAACTAAAGACGACGACAGCGTGCAGCGCCATATGCGTGACGTTAAGTTAACCATTAACCACATGAGCTTAAAGCAGAAGGAGGAGCCAGCGGAGGCAGACAACAGGCAGTCCCGCATCACAACATGTGATAACAATGTTAGCATCTCGATAAGGATGATGGGAAGAAGATGAGCCGTGTGACTGGAGATATGCTGCCGTTACGTTTTGTGGAAGAAGAAGGCTTCAGGGAGTTTTGGAGTACAAGCCACCATCACGTCTAACAACAGATATGAGAGTGATTAAGACACAGCAGAATAGTGCAGAACAGCCAAGTGTCTGTTAAAACAGACTCCTGGACAGCTCTCACCACAGAGTCCTACGTTACCATCACTCGTCATTTCATTCAGAACCATCACATCAAAGATCACAGTTGTCATGGAGACACAGTTCTGATGAGCGACAGACTGCAGGAAACACAGCCGGCTACCTGGAAGTCCATTTTTGACTGTAAATAAATATAATTAGCATGTAATTGAGTACTCATTCATAAGGCTGTGCCAGCACTTGAATATTTGCATCTCTGTAAATGGGGTGCAGGTCTAGTGTTTAGGTGCATAGAGACCAAAATCCTCCAAGCACGCGGCCCGGCGTCTTCTTTCCCACATGTCACTCCCTACTCTCCTTCCCTGATTTCCTGCTCTATTCACTGTCCTATCCAATGAAGGGCTTTTGACACACATTTCGTTGTTGGGTTGGTTTAAGACATGTGGCTCCTTGGGCGTGAGTTCAAAAAACAAACTTACAAACACAAAATCTTCCAGTTGGATAGGCCAATCCTTTGAATTTTCAACATGATAAAGATGTATAAATAAAAAAACGGAAAGTGCTGGTTTCTTTTCTAGCTCGGCTCCTTTCACCACGGTGTGCCACGGATCAAAAACCATGGACTTTCTTTGTGCCCGACACCTGCTGCTAATCCGTGTCAGTTAAATAAAGTTTGGGTCCCTGGGTTTACAGCGCCACCCAGTGGTTAGCCCAACAAACAAAACACCCAAAAATGGCTCCAACAAAGGCTAGAAGTCCAAAATACAATACTGCAAATGTCCGTCCCTAATAAATTCTCCATCTTGTTCTGGGTTAATCCCGGGGGTCTGTGCTAAAACCTCCTCAACTAGGACCCTTGGGTACAAAGATGTAGCTCTTCTCTGAGCTCCTCCCCCCTCTGTAGAGCTGAGCTCAGCTGCCCTCACATTAAACATCATGTTGGACGTCTGTGTCTGCGATCTCCATCTTTAGGTTTGATGATAAATAAAGGGCTCGGCCTGGTTCATCTACCCGGTTAACCACATTGATGTGCTGACGCTGCAGAAATCCTTTTGTGGATCTAAGGATCAATCAATCAATTTTTATTTGTATAGCGTCAACTCACAAGAAGTGTTATCTGGAGACACTTTACAAAAAGCAGGTAAAAGACCTTACTCATAGTTATGTTACAAAAAGCAGGTAAAAGACCTTACTTATTGCTATATTACAAAGACCCGACCTATCCATCATGAGCACTTTAGCAAAGCAGCAAAAGTTACAGTGGTAAGAAAAAACTGCCTTATTAAAAGGCAGAAATCTTCGGCTGGATCCCCGGCTCATGATGAAACAGCCTTCACAGGCCTAGACTGCTCCGGTCTTGGAAGGGGATAGGGGGAGGATGCATTTCATCCTCTCTTGTGATCAAGGCCTGGAGATACTTGAAATCCTTGACTGGATGCAATAACTGCGTCCCCTCTGGGTAAAGTTATCCACTATTGACCAGCAGGAAGTAACGTCTCTCACTCTGAAGTTTTGCAGCTCACCCTGGCTGCTTCAGACTCAGCAGTGCCTGCTGGAGGGACAACAGAACCTTATGAACAAATCAAAATGAAGATGTTATTCCAAGGTGCTAACAGCAGACCCTCTCCTCCCCACAGCTTCACCTCGAGCTCCTGTCCATTAAAATCACAAACAGAATCTCCCCGGCAGATATCAACGTCCACCAGGGAAATGTTTCACTTTGAGCCGAGGTCATGGACACTGCTCTCACTAGAGACATGCTGTGTGAACAACCGCTGTCCTTCTCAGTCCAAAAAAACACATGAAGACGGGATAAGCACAATCTCGTCACCTCCCACATCATCTGTGCTATTCCTCCTCCACCTGAAGTTTTTCATGAAATGTTTTTCTTATTTGTAAAACAGTAATTATGAGATACCATCTCAGAGAAAAAATGAATAATTTATTTCATTCCCAGAGAAGTACAATAACTCTTTTACAGAAATAGGAAGCTGGACACAGAGCGTTTCGCTTCAGAACATGCCAAGACGCCTTTGAATGTCTCGTTTTACTTTGAAAAACTCCCGGACAGCGAAGATGACAAGTTAATAATAATATCCCCCTCATGACATCAAACTTTTCACATTTTACCCTCCACTTTAGCTGAGTTCATTTGCTTTTCAAATCCTTAACGAGTTAAGATCTACCAGAATTAATTTTTTCTGCTTTGTATCTAAACAGAAAGTAAAGTACCCTTTGCTTAAGACAGTAAAAAAAACAGTTTCAAACATCGATCAAAAATGTGATTAATCACAATAAACTATTGAAATTTAGCGATTAATCATGATCAAAAAATTATCATTTGACAGTTTAAACTCAATAATTGTATTACTCAATATACAATCTATAACTTTAAAGGGAGACAATGGTTCCAAGCAGATACTGCTCAGTTCATGTCTGTCAAATGATTAAAGGTCCAACCAGTAAGATGTGTAGTGAGTGAAATGATAAAGTGATCTTACTATATGATCAGACATTAAGGAAACATGCTGGGGGGAGACAGCTCTCTACAATGTTTAGTATTTAGACTGCAGTACCCATTTTAAACACTAGGGGTCAGATTTACATATTGCTCCTGTAAAATCTTCACTGGACAGTTGAGATGTCTGTCAAAGGACTTCAAATCTTGGCGTCCCTCTCAGTGCTTGTTTTAGTATTCAGGTGCAGGACTAAGGAGACTCTCACTCTCACCACCACCTGCTGTGTTTTGACAGGTTCAGGTGAATGTTTTCTGGAGTGTAGTGTGAGCTGTGAGTTCACACAGAAGTCACAGATTTATTTAAGAAAAGCATGAAGACTCTGTGTTTGTTTTGGAAGCTGTGATGGGAAACATGAAGGTTGCCGTCCTCTCACCTGTCTTCGGATCCACAGCGAAGTAGGGCTGCCCGTGGAGGATGCTGTAGACGATCCGTGCACTGTTCCCATAGGTGGGGTCGTCTGCATCTGTGGCAGTCACCTGTGTCACATAGGTTCCTAAAAAAACACACACACACACGTGTTATTAATAAAGTTCTACTCAACGACACATCTTTACTCCTCGACATGTCACAGATAATGGAGAAACATCTGCTAAATACTTTTCAAATAACCTGCTGGATACCAAAGAAGGTCAAACGATGAAGCACAGGTTTATAAGACGCAGTCTGTTTATTAACGGCCTCTCAAAGGGGAACAACATTTAATCTGTCTTTCTGCGTTCAGCCAAATCCACAACCTGCAGCTGTGCAGCTCTTTCTATTGCCAACAGTATACATCAGTATATCTAAAACATCCTAATGACCTAAAGGAGGAAAAAAAGTCTGTTTCATAACATATCCCACCATGCAGCTGCTCGAAATACAAAATGATGAGCGAGTTCTCGTTCCCATCATGTGACGTGTGATGCAGGCAGCTGCACTCGTGGCTATGACGTGCAAGCCTCAGCATTTTACACTGGCATACCGGTTGTACCGGTTTAGGACACAGTCCAACTTTTAGATGTAACACTAAGTATTACAAGAGCACCATATACAACGGAATAAAATAATTTTTTTTAACATATGTGGATTATGCCTTTAAGAAACAGCACATAGCTGTACAAGTTTACTTTCTGTATATGCTCCTCAAAAGTAAAAAAAAAAACAAGATATGCCTTTGTCATAAGCAGTGATGTGATGAGCAGTCAGAAGCTGCAGAGAACAGCAGCAAGCAGGAGCTTCACTACTACATCTATAGCAGTCGGCTTCCTACAGACAGGATTATTTCTGTATGGATTCTGGTGTTGTTTGCTTCCATCATACAGTTTGTTTCTGTGTTTCTCTGCAACAGAGACGTCCCGGGGTCAGACTTCTTCCAGAGCACTTTGGCCCTCAGATAAAGCATTAACAGCTTAAGGCCTAAAGACCTTGACTGTTAAATTACCTCTCAGTAATGGTGTTTAGCAGACAGATGGACCACTAAGTCTGGCTTAGTGAGTGTGTGTGTGTGTGAGAGTGTGTGTGCATTTGCGTGTGTGTGTGTGTGTGTGTGTGTGTGTGTGTGTGTGTGTGTGTGTGTGTGTGTGTGAGTGTGTGTGAGTGTGTGTGGTCAGTAGCTACTACTCAATGTGTTCAAACAGACAGCAAAGTGAAACTTAAGATCTCAGCTGAACCAACAAGCTTGAAACATAAACTATAGTGTGTTTTTATTTATATTAATTAAAGGGACAGTCTGTAATTTGAAGTGGGCTCTGAGGTGCGAATCAGTCAGGTTCAGTTCGGTTCTGTTCTGTACTCATTAATTAGCGTTTCCACCATCAAAAGTTGGGAATGGTACCAAAATAAGGGATCTGTACCGTCCTACTTTATTTGGTACGCTTCTGTTCGGGTGCTAAGAGTACCGATCTGATGCTAAAGAGTCCCTGTTCTTCTTCTTTGTTGATCTTAATAAATAGCGGGCTACACTGTGTTGAGCTGCTATGATGTCACACTATTACATAGCTGAAGTGTCTATCTCCATCTGGCTTTTACTCCACTTACCAAATAAGGGTACGGTTGGATGTGGAAAAACAATAAAGTTCAGGGTTTACTGTACCGACCTGAACCACATTGTACTGAACCAAACCGGACCGCTTGGTGGAAAAGGGGCTTAAGGGCCTTGTTTAAAAAAGTGGGGACTCAGTCGCCACACTGAGTGGACAGGAGAAGAAGAAAATATAATTTTTCTTTTAAAAAAAACATTCACCTTCAAAGAAATCACCACATCATCACCTTGCTTTGTGAACAATACTACGTCTGATTGGCTACACCTGCAAGATGCCCAGTTCCACGGTGTGGCAAAGATTTAAATGAAGCAGAATGTAATCACATGATACATTATGTGGACTTGTCCTACCTGTGGGAGACATCTCAGGGACACTGGCGCTGTAGGGACCATCAAGAAAGCGGGGCTCATTGTCGTTGATGTCCTGCACCTTAATGATGAACTCGGACTCTGGCTCCAGAGGGATGCCGGAGTGGAGGTCTACTGCCTGGGCCCTCAGGGTGTAGAAGGACTTCTCCTCCCTGTGAAACATCAAGTGTCAAATCATCATAAACCAGTGTCATTGTGTCTTTATTGACCAACATGTCATGGAGTCGCTGGGATACACCGTCCCAGACGACATGAAGCAAGGATGGAAAAGACGACTTGTTGAAGTCTTGTTCCAAGTGGGGTTCCATCCAACCATCCATACATCCATATACCGCTTATCCTGAAGACTCTGGAGAGCTGGAGCCAATCACAGCTGTCAATGGGCGAGAGGCGAGGCTACACCCTGGACTGGTCGACGATCAATCACAGAGCTGACATATAGAGACAGACAACCAGCCACACTCACATTCACACATACGGGTGATTTAGAGTCAGCAGTTAACCTAACGAGCATGTCTTTGGACTGTGGGAGGAAGACGGGGTACCAGGAGAGAACCCACACATGCACAGGGAGAACATGCAGACTCCACACAGAGAGACTCCTGTCAGACGGGGATTCAAACCAGGAACCTCCTCACAGAGAGACTCCTGACAGACAGGGATTCAAACCAGGAACCTCCTCACAGAGAGACTCCTGTCAGACAGGGATTCAAACCAGGAACCTCCTCACTGTGAGGATTGTCAAACGTACCTCCATCCTTTTCTCAAATTAGTCATGTTAAATGTATCTGTAAATTAATCCAAGAAAATATAAATGATCCACGGTGGTGCACTGGTAAGAGCTGTCGCCTCTGAGTAAGAGGGGTCATGGTTCAAATCTCCAGACCAGCAGGAGCCTTTCTGTTTGGAATTTGAATGATCTCTCAGTGTCTGTGTGGTTCCAGCTTCTGTTCCCAGTCCAGTTAGGTTAACGGATCATTTTACAGTTACCTGTCGGTGTGAGTATGAGCCTGTAAGTGACAGGTGACCTATCCAGGATGTACCTTTACCTTTTAACCAATCACAGTGAGGACTGAGACACAGTCGTAATCCTGAATACATTTTCAGCCTGCAATCATTCATGTCTCTGTGTTCTACCACAAACTGTTTTAATAAGATACCAGCTATCTTTACATCTTTTTTATGACCTATCATTTTGATAATACGTCTGTGTTCTTGTTTGGATCAATGAGCGCTCACCTGTCCAGTCCCACCAGTGCGTGGATGTCTCCTGTGATCTGGTCGATGGTGAAGATGGAGCCGACTCCTTCTCCGGACAGCGTGTACTTGACTGCGTTGTGTCCGTGGTCCAGGTCTGTGTGGAGCTGCAGCAGAGACAGAAGATTCATTGATGATATCTTTATTCAGCTCAGACTGCAGCAGTAATCAATCACAATGAGACTGAGGGGATCCATGGCATCCAGAGTAATGGGAAATCTATAATAATAATAATAAAGACACACAAATACACACCCTCATACACACCCCAATTATGGAAAAAAACTGACAGATAAAGTCAACTCAAATAATATGATCATTAAGTCTTTTATCTCAGCTTGAAGGTCATGTTTGTTATTCAGAGGTAAGTACTTTTTCAGCAACAGGTGTATTCAGACGATACCAACAGAGATTAGAGAGAGAGAGAGAGAGAGAGAGAGAGGGAGAGAGAGACAAAGAGAGAGAGAGGGAGAGAGAGAGAGAGAGAGAGAGAGAGGGAGAGCGAGAGAGAGAGAGAGGGAGAGAGAGAGAGAGGGAGAGAGAGACAGAGAGAGAGAGAGACAAAGAGAGAGAGAGGGGGAGCGAGAGAGAGAGAGAGGGAGAGAGAGAGAGAGACAGAGAGACAGATAGAGAGAGAGGGAGTGGGGGAGAGAGAGGGAGAGAGAGAGGTAGAGAGACAAAGAGAGAGAGAGAGGAAGAGAGAGCGACAGAGAGAGAGAGGGAGAGAGAGAGAGAGAGGGAGTGGGGGAGAGAGAGAGGGAGAGAGAGAGGTAGAGAGACAAAGAGAGAGAGAGAGGGAGAGAGAGAGACAGAGAGAGAGAGGGAGAGAGAGAGAGACAGATAGAGAGCGAGGGAGTGGGGGAGTGAGAGACAGAGGGAGAGATGGAGAGAGAGAGAGAGAGACAGAGACAGAGACAGAGACAGAGATCAGAAAGAGAGAGAGAGAGAGAGAGAGAGAGAGAGAGAGAGAGTTGTTATTGTGATGTTTTGATCATCCTTATGAGTTCAGTGTAAAGTTTACATCTTGTGACTGATTTCATTACGTTGGCAGAAAAGCATTTTTACTGTATGTTAAATTGACTGATCAAAGTGCAGTACCTCTGATGGACCCTCTGTTCTTTAATCATCTTACTTTGATCTTCAGTGTCTCACAAACAGAACCATGTTTTAACCAACCTAAGGTCCTGATTTTGTTCTTCAACCTCCACTTGTGATGTCATATCTACACTCACATATTCATGAATTTCTTTGTTCTATTGCAACACCACTCAATCCAATGATACACAGTCTTTAAATGAACAACACAATTTCCAGATTAATCAGTTTGAAGCAACAATTTGTAGGAATTTGGTTTGGTGCCCGTTGAAACATTCAAAGTACTTATTGTAGCTTTAAGCCAAACAAAACAAATTAGTCACTTAACAACACGTGTCAACACTAAACGCTATATTACCATTTCCCCAATTAAATCCTCCATTGACATATCACAAAATCTATGTCAGGAGATTGACACCTGTAACCGTGACAACCAGCTATCCTAATACTCGTGACTATAAAACATTTGACTCAGTGCAAAAACTGAGTAAAAGAAACAAAGGCAAAGGTAAAAGACTGTCAGACTGTTTACATCATTTTCGTCCAGAGTCAAGGAACTACACATCCCACAATCCATTGCGAATGATTCAAACCAATCTGGTTTTAGTGAAAACATGGTTATTCACAATATCTGAGGAAAAGAACTACACTACCCACAATCCTAGAGTGTCACAGCAACATCTCTGAATGGTGGAACTTGCTGTTACAATGGCAATGTTTCCAGCCCCTCTGCACCGTATTTGAACAGATACGTTTCGCTAGCAGGCTAGTTAGTTAGTTAGCTAACATGAAATGTACTAGTAACCTAATGCAGTTTATATTTCCACAACACAAACTACACGTTAATATTCGTATTAACAGTATAAACACGATAACAACGACTAAAGTTATATTTAAGAAGAAACAATATCATTTGCAATGGATTGTGGGATGGGTAGTTCTTTGACTCTGGACGAAAATGATGTACAACGTTTGGAACCTTTGCCTTTTTCTCAGTTTTTAATGCTGTTTTGGCGCCGAATTAAATGTACCATAGTTACGAGTATAGGGGTAGCTGGTTGTCATAGTTACAGGCGCCAATCTCTTGATGTAAAGATGTTCTGAAAAATCAAGGGAGGATCTGAATGGGGAAACCAGAGCCACCAGAAAAGTGGGCATCACTGTTGAGCTCTATATAAGAGGGCTGGGAAACATTGCCATGGTAACAGCGAGCTCCACCAATCAGAGACGTCGCTGTGACACTCTATGCTAGTGGGTAGTGTTGTTCTTTTCCCCAGATATTGTGAATAAATCGTGTTGTTCTTAAAACGAGGTGGAACTTGTGTCTGCTACAGGAGCATAAACCATCATTTCACACTCAGGTAGCTTGTGGTCAGTCTACCTGTGATGGTTATGACATCATGGCTAATCATCAATTCCACTATGGAGAAAATTAACCTTTTTGAAACTTGTAGACTTAACAACACAAGTATTATTTAAACAGTAGAGAAGTTGAACCATGTTTCCCCCCTCTGAAGAACCTTTTCCAGAAGCATGATGAAAAGACAGATTTTTCAAAGGACACTGACGCTCTCCAACAGTGAGTTCATTACTTTCCTCCAGAAGGAGTCCACTGATGTGAAAGTTAACGACTAACTGACCAGGACCCAGTGGGCTCCGAACGCTGATGAGAAATAAGGAGCTGAATATTGATTCAGTTTAATGAAGGTCCAGTGGAGCAGAAATGTGGGAGTGAAAGTAAATAAGGAGATGAGGAAGATGAGCATACCAAACACATTAAGAGGAGCTGAACACCAAACAGCAGCCCTCTGCAGCGGTGGAACTTTGAAGACATTCATGTTTCTTATTTCTTATGATGCTTAGCTTCCATGTTTTCTTGATTTGCAGAATAAAGTTGGTTAATCAACACATTCTAAAACCGACAGCTCGGTACATGCTTTTAATTTTTTGAATTACATTGCTGAAACCTGTTACGTACACACGTAGTGTTGCATTCACATGAGAAAATAAAAGAAAAATAAAACTGTGTTAAACTCATAAATTCATAAAGCAGAGCATTTTTATTTAGTCCTCAGTATGCGTTACACTTCTGTAGCGTTGATGAAGAACAGTGCACAAAAGTCTTCACTACAGTGTCTGTAGCTGTAAATTGACATTAGTGTGCAGTTTCAAACGTCAACTTCCTGTCAAATAGCTTAGAGAATATCGATGAGGTGGCCTCTCAGGTATTAGCAGATTTTAGTCCTCAATTTAAAAAAAAAAAAAAATTCTGTGTTAAAATCTGTCGGAAGCAGCATGTGTTGTGTTGAGCAGAGCTTCAGGTAACTTAATCCAGGAAGTCCCGATTTAAGAAGATATTTGTGAATTTTAAGCAACCAGCAACCTTTGTGTGGAATTAATGAAGCCAATGCTGAGAAAGTGCAAAAACTTGTAGTCTCTCTACTGTCCACTGAGGCAGTCTGCAAAAGCCAAAGAATCCATGTTAGGTCCAAAATTCAAACATCAGCAGCAGAACTAATCTTGTTGACAGCCTGATTATTAAAGGCACATTTCTTTACTTGTAGAAACTGTACAGGGATAAAAGGATAAAAGGATCCCCCCACTACATGGGGCAGCAGTTATTGGGGCGGCAGTAGCTCAGTCTGTAGGACTTGGGTTGGGAACTGGAGGGTTGCCGTTAAAGTCCCGGTGCGGACCAAGCTTGAAAGTTGGTCTGGTAGCTGGACAGGTGCCAGATCACCTTCTGAGCAGCTGCGAGCAAGGCACCAAACCCCCTCCCCACCATCAGCTCAGAAGCTGTGGGCTGCTCCGTCACTCTGACATCTCTCCATTAGTACATGTCATATGATCCTGTTTGTGTGCATGTGTGCATGTACGTATATACTTCAGCCTATGTTGTGTTGCATGAGTACAGAGTGTAAAAACTGAAATTTCAATAAAGTAAATCTTCTTCTTCACACAGGAGTGTGTAGTCACCTTCCTTGGTTTTCTGAGTGTGTTTGTATGCTGCGTTACGGCGTTAAGGTCCATATAAATCCAGGGTTATGTTACTTGTAATAAACCACCATGGAGGTGCCCTTGCCTGTAATGGGTTGTAGCCTGTATCCAAAGTGCTCTGTCGCAAAGTGCTCTTCACTTAAGCTAGGTTCAACTCTTACGCCCCCTCTGGCACCCCCATTGTCTCTGTGCAAATTCTAGTGAGCGACACCTCGGCTTAACTCTCCAAACTGCAGGGGGGGTGCGTGTTGAGCAGAAGCTGAAACCCAAGGAAAGTAGCCTACAGGCCATCTGGCAGCTTTTTTTTGCCAAAACACTTTGCCATCAGTCAACTGCTTAAGGTATAAACCAACCACCCCCCCTCCTCCACCTTTCTTCACTGCTAGCTGCTAATTAACGGGTGGGTTGGTTTACTATATATGAGTTCCATGCAGGGTTTGCAGTTCAGGAGCAGCGTGGAGACTGTTGCTGCCATTTCCAGGTAGTCGATACATCAATTCTAACACCCTACCACGTGGCCTCTAAGGCCCCTCACCTCAATTGTGTGGACTGATGGCCGGAGCCAGTACATCACCGGGGTTGTCAAGTGGGAACCTCTCTTCACCTGTGTTTCGTCCAATCAGTCCAAGACACCTCAGGAAGCCTGGACAGTTAGCCTCCAGAGCCCCCCCACCCCTACTCCATGCTAACTCTAAACGCCCACCACACCCACATGCAGAACTTCCTTAACTTACCTACTTCACCACATGGCCATAACCACACAGTAGCTCCAGGTAGTGCCAATACTTCCTACCCAACCACATGGCCCGTAATGGCCACTACTAAACGAAATTAAATTATTCCTGGTACCAACATTTCACTTGAAAAAGAATGGCAAAGAGAACACACAAGAGAAAAGTCTGTAGGGAGATCTTGAAGGCAGAATGCTCCTGTTCATCAATAAATAATATCATCATCTTTCACATCATCACAGTGAGCAGCTCTGACACAATCTGATCATCCTTACACCAACTTA